GACATTGCAACCCTAAGTAAGATCGTTACTAATGGGCCCATCCCCTATAAACAAACCTGACGGCAGAGCAGCAACGTCAGTAATAGAATCTGTAGAGATTCTGGTAGACACGGACTTTCCAGGGAATGTGCCAGAAAACTCGGAGTCTGAGAGGTCAAGAACCAGACAGACACTCATGACAACATGGGAGATTATCACAATTGAGAAGATTCAATAGGCAATAGACTCACTCGACAAATATAAAAGCCCGGGCCTTAATGGTATCATTCCGTCAATGCTACAAGCTGCAAAGAAAGAATCAGTAGATGGCTCAAAGTCGTCTATAATGCATGCATTACACTAACATACATACCGCTTTCGTAGAGGAAAGCGAAAGAAAGAACCCAAAGACCAACATTTGGTTCTACACAGCGATTGTAAGCTTAAGACTGACTCACCAGAGCCGGCATGCGCCGGAAAAAATAGGAGCGCTACGCTCATGTCCAGCAGCTGCCCTGAATATAATTCTAAGCATAATGCCGATTAACCTGTTCATTAAAGATCCAGCGGCGCAGAGTGCGGTGAAATTGCAGGCGAGCGATTTCTGGAAAGATCAGCGCATATGGCACCGCCCCATTCTTGTTGAGGTCCCATCACTTGCGGGGCTGGTTTTTTGCTGAGTGCTTTGACACTGAATCGACTTTCAGCATCAGCAACAGTCTTCCAGGCTGATGTACTTACTATATTGGAGGCAGCAAGACTCTCAACACAGCAAGAGCTAAGGAATACCAATGTGTGGATGTGCTCTGAAAGCGGCTATCAAGGCTCTAGAGTTAGAACCAACTCGCAATTAATGACAGAATGCCAAGAAGGCCTAAATGCACTCGCATGAGATAATGTCGTAAGAATAACCTAGGTGACAGGACACAACGACATACCAGGAAATGAGAAAGCGGACAAGCTAGCCAGAGAAGGCTCATCTGGGCGAAGCAACAGTAAGCAGATACTAAGCAGATACTGAACCCTACAAAAACATGGTCAACAGAGTTTGGTCAAGGACAAAGCAATCCAGAAGAGCGAAACTATGCTGGCCAAACTTCGTCAAAAAACGCACACCAGAACTGATATCCCAGAGCAAGAGGGACAGAGCACTTACTCTGCCACTGCCCGGCACTAAACAGGACCAGAATGCTTCCCTTCGTTGCCAACCAGCTAGAGCCGCTGGGAGAAGTATGGAAGCGCAAGATTGCAGCCATCAATGATTCGGGAGGGGGTGGATCAAAACGGAGCTTAGCTTTAATTGGTGGCTCAAGATGAGTTTCACTACTTCAGCCTACCTACCTACACAGTGATAAAGGTAAGAAGAGTAAAATACAATAAGTAAATAAGGATAGATTAAAAAATTCGTAAAGTATGACAAAAAAGTAAAGTTGGTCTGAACAGCCTTTTTCCAACCAAAATAAATAAAAAAGAAAACAGAACTACATTTTAACCTTCAAATAAGAAAACACATAAATACAAGATGAGTTCCAAAATAAACAGGACTTTAAAAAAAAATATAGAACAAATGGTTTTTCGGCAAAATCAATTTATTTTATTTAAAATAGTATCCTTCTGCTTTAATACGTAATAACATTTTGCACGGTCCAAAAGCATGTCGAACGAGTGTTTTAGCTCGTTGCCCGGTATGGCCGCCAGTATGCCGATGCAAGCCTTTTGAATGGCTTCTACGTCTGCATAACGCTTTCCTTTCATCGGCAAATGCATTTTTCCGAAAAGGTAGAAGTAGCACGGTGCCATATCAGGTGAATACGGGGAGTGGTTGATGGTTAAAATGTGATTTTTGGTCAAATAGTCCATCTTCGCGATATTCGGGCCGAACACGTAGAATACGGCACACCAAACGCTTCAAAACTCTAAGGTAGAATACCGCATTAACGTTTTGGCCGGATGGCACAAATTCTTTGTGGACAATATGCTTGGAATCATTAAATAAAATCAGCAATGTCTTCACTTTTGACTTCTCCAGGCGCGATTTTTTGGGTTTCGGCTCGTCCCGCGCCCTCCATTCAGCACTCTGGCGTTTCATTTCAGGATCATATTGAAAACACCACAATTCGTCATCAGTCACAATCTTGTAAAGGAAGTTCGAGTCTTTTTTTGCCTCTTTAATGATGTCCTTCGAATGTTGAATTCTGAGCACTTTTTCGACGTCAGTTAATTTGTGCAGAACAAACCGTGCACACACCTTTTGTAAGCCCAAATGTTCGGTCAAAATGCGATAAATCGATGTTTTGGAGATGTTCAATTCTATTTCCATGACATTCAATGATGAATTTTTGGTGATCACGGATTTTGGTTGGCCCACATGTTCATCGTCATTTATGTGCTCACGACCACTTTGAAAACGTTGAAACCACTCGTGCACTCTGCTACTGGATAAGCAATCATCGCCATAAACTTGTTTCACCAATTGAAACGTTTCGGTAAAAGTTTTACCAATTTTAAAACAAAATTTAATGTTGGCTCTTTGTTAGAAGTTCATTTTCGCACCGATGACAAAACAAATTGACACTTAAAACGCAATAACCTCACTTTCAATAGATGAAATGTCATGAAATTTTTACTGGAAGTCAATAAATGATTTCTACTGCCTATCTGGGATTTTGTAGTCGCTGTCCGTTCAAAAGAGTTTGTATGTATTAGGATCTGATAGAAGCTTTTTGCCATATCAATACACACTCAATCGATTAGGGCGCATCTGAACCGACTTATTTTAATCAATCAGGCGAATCTTTAGCTGTCCCGTAGTCACACGGCTCTGTGGGATACCGTTTATGAACGAATATTAATACCCCTGTAATATTGATAACAGTTTATCTTTAGCTTGTCCATGCAAATCGGTATCAACACTAGCCAGGTCAGGAGTGCATTTGGAGACTACGACAGGTAATACAGACTTTTCGTTAAACATAATTAATGTAATTGTCTCGCCGAAGCCATGGCTCAAAATTTCCCGACCAATCAGAATTTCTTATTTGATATGATTATCTATTATCTACGCAAAATAAGATTTCAAAAGAACTCTCACAAATTAAAAGACTTGCCAATATCTGTAAAGTGCTACAGAGTCACCACCAATAACTCTCAATGTCACTACGTTGTTTATTCTAATCCCGGATAATCTCAGTGATGCAATCTCTTTGATGAGTGAGTACTCGGCTCCGCAGTCGAAATTAAATTGGAACGACCCCCCAAACTGCAGCTACTTTCCTAACGACTCAAGTACGGTGCATATATTTACATCTTTGATAGTATAAACCGTAAATACATGTCCAGCCTTTCCACATTTGTAACATTTGCTCCTGTTTGTTGATTACGAGACTGCTGACGCTACGTTGTCTCTTTGATGTTAGGCATAGCACTGGCTCTTTTTCTGGTGCTGGTAAGTTGTTTATTGAATGCTGGCTCTGTCTGGCGTCAAACGAAATGGCTTTGAATTCCTGATGCAGCTCGTTTCGGTTTTTGATATCCGTCGTAAAAACCAAACGGTGCAATCGTTTGTCTTTCCCAGCTGCATGTGCCAAAGTAACGGATACTGCAATCTGCTCAACGCTGAGTGACTTCCACCGGTCCATTAATGAAGTGACCATTCTGGTTCCATACAGGGACTGGCACTCTCCTTTTTTTGGGAGTTCATTTAGCAAATATATAACAATTGCGACCAAAGTCTCCTACCCTGAAAGTATTGCAAAAATAATGATCGGAACTGCGTTCATGTAATGCCGGGAAAACATTTCTGCGAGAGCCAGTGAGATTCGGTGCCTTCCAGTGATATGCTGAGGCCCTCAGCCTGAGGGCCATTACAAGAGCGCTGCCCATGAGTCCTAAGCTGACGGCGGAGGTAATCCTATTTCTGATGACGATGATCCATTATCAAAGTTCTTAACTGGACTTTCGGCGAAACTTTTTTATCCCCTGGCATGATCACTGAATTTCACATTCAGACTGACCCAGACTACGTTGATAGAATTATGTATCTGCTTCGCACGAAAGAATGGAAAGCAATAAGAAATAAAACCATTGAACGATAAAACGAATTGAAAGCAGGCATTACATCTTTGTTTTTAAACATAATTATATATTATTTATATTGTATTAATTTTAGTGATCGAAGTTTAATCTGCATGGGTATATAAACTTCGGCGTGCCTTGTTTTTTTTTTTTTTTTTAACAATTGTTCAATATTTTCAAAAGATCCAAAACTCTGCCGGCTATTTTTTTACTTCACGACTGTATATGTTTTTGAGTTTTGTGACGCGAAGTAAAAATATAAATATATAAAATATTTTCCAGAACATTTTTCTTTTGGGTTAATATTTTTAATACTGAACAATATATAAAATCAAATATTCACATACAATTATAGTTCAAAGCTTTAAACACATAAATAAATGTAAATAATACTATAACATTAATTGATGCTGTTGATAAGTACGGAGTTGGCCTATTGTACTATCTATTATCTATTCTACTTACACCAGTACCATCCCCGATACTAGTACCTTGGCCAATACAATCATTTTACGTAATTCCATGGCGCGCTATTTAGATCAATTACTTTTAAGGCAAATTTCGGACATTCAACAGATCGAGAAATCTCCTATTGCCAAGACTAACCTGTCTTCTTCTTCCTGTCGATTCTGTCTTGCTACTGACTTCCTCGATTCAATGTGAAAGTCTCTTAGGTGATTATTTTCGAGTGCAGAAGTACTCAACTTTTCGTATGCAAGGGGAGTTCTTTGGGTATTGGCGATTTGTTCGAAGTAGAACCATCCAGTCGTACATATTCAGCTTCCTCCAGATGGTAGTAAATGATTGTATATTTTCAGTGAAGTCAGTACCTCTTCACATAGAACTTAACTGTATTCTAATGAGGGTTCGACCGAGTTTATAACTAATTGAGTATTGAACATTTTAAAATGTTATAAACACCCCTTATTAAATTTTTAAGTCCTTACCTTACGGCTGGCACTTCAAGAATATCCCATTCAACTGACATATAAAATTCGGACAAGTCGACACCAACATCAACTACATTGCTACCCAGTTGTTCATCCATGTGTCGCAGATCAACCTATGAAAAGAAGAGAAATACGGCGTGCGTTATTTTTTATGTTTGGAAAAATTAATTACATAAAACAACACATGTGAAGTTCACTGACACCTACACGGATAAAATTTTTTTTTGTTTTATGTTATTTTTTCATGCAATTTATATATATATTATTTGATTGTTTATAAAAAAAAATATAAAGTAAATTTAAAAAATACTTCGGATGTACAATTTAAAATATTTCTTTAAAAATACAAAAAAAAATAATAAACAAGGCTATATTTCGAGCTGAAACTGTTTTTACTTTTAACTTTTAAGAATCCTGCCAGAAATAATTCAAAATATGGTATTCTGAATATGAAATAATAAATAAGTGTTAAGGAGCAATATTTTTTAAATAAAGACAAAAAAACATAAACTATTTTCGGTCTAAAATATAAAACATTTTTTTTTTAACAACACAAAATATTAAACTGTTTTTTTTTTAATTTAAATTTAATTTTCAGTTTGCATGTGTCGATTCAGTTAAATACCGATAGACCACAGGGAGAGATATAAAAGATATTTGTGTGCAGATATTTTATGATTTAATAATTTAATTTTAATAACGTTTGAAGCGCAATATTAAAATCGTATTAAATGCATAAATACTAGGACTTATGTGTACCGGAACATCACCGCCAGCCAGTCAGGGTACAACAGGCGACCTAGTAATTGTGTGTACTATTAATGGTTCAACTGTACTCTGCAAGTGGGTAAAAGCAGGCCTCGTCTACGATGCTGACAAAGTGTAGACGACCCTATGCTGTTGACTTTTAGGGACGCAGCTGTAACAAGATGGCACCTTCTCAGGGCTTGAATCATCTCTCCTGCTGGCAAGCAAAGCTGCCGATTATAAAATTACTCCACACTGCGTGGAGTATGAAAAAGTTGTTTCTGAGATGATTGAGGCACTCCTTCTATGGTGAAAGGAGCGCGGCCGCAAGGTTGGGTCGTGTCATACTTGCTATTATACCTGGTGGTCGACGATCTAATCAAGAGATTTTAGGTTTGAATTGCATCAGGCAATATACATGCATATATCTACAAGGATTCGGTCACAGTTCACTTGGTCAAGGCATGAACTTGTTCGGAAACACAAAACGACATCAGTTTAATTGGCGGGACAATTGTTAAAAAAACAGCTGCCGTGAAATTTTCGTTATAATTTTATAGCAGCTAAATAATTTTACACATTTTTTTAAATTTTTTTTGTTTTTAATTTTATACTATAGCAGATAGCTTATATAAACTTAAAAACTCTTGAAAATATACAACAACATGAAAAGGTTTTGCGATTTTAAGTAGTGGCATAAGTATTTTGACAATTATTAAGTAGTAAGAAAAACAACTTTAAAGTAACAAAAAAGAAGGAAAGCTAACTTCGCGTCACGCCGAATTTTGTATACCTTTGCTGATTGCAAATCGATTATTATTAATTAATATAAAATAAATTATATACATTTATGTTAAAGAAAATTATTGAAAAAGTTAGCACTTTTTCCAAATTTTTTTTTTTTATCCGACATACATATATAAGACTGACATTATAAAAAAAACTAACAGAAAAGCTTCGTTCACATAGCTTTAAAACTTAGAGATTAGTTTACGTAGAAACGGACAGACGGACGTACAGACGGGCATAGCTTGATTGACTCGGCAGTTAACGTTGATCAAGAATATATGTATACAGTTTATTTGGTCGGAAATGTATCCTTCACTGCGTTGCAAACTTTTGACTAAAATTATAATACCCCCCAAATACATGTCTCACAAACCTGTTTTTCTGGATATAGGGTCGGAAGAGCAAAATATCCCCATACCAAGACAATATTTGCTCACTATTTGACAAAAGTTCTGTGCTCTTTGCATTTTGTTCTTTAAAAAATCTTACAAAGACATTATTTTTTGTAGAGTTTAACATAAAGGAGCTATCATCTGTTCATAAAACTTTTCTCAGTAACTTCTTCGGCATTCGGAAATTAAAGCTTATTCTCGCTTGGAAAATCCTTAGTTTTCAGTGTCTTAAAGTGCTTTTTTTGTTGAGCGTCAACGGACTGTGCGATAACTTTATGTTTTAAGCTCACTTAAAAGATCATTTTTGATAAGATTCTATTGATTTGTAATGGACTAAGACATTAAAAGTTTTTTTTATTAATACCCGTAAAAGAATTATGTCTTCATTAAGAGTTGTATTGCATCTAGGCCCTGTTCTTGTCAAGTTCATCACGCCATTATGTTTTTTGAAAACTTAAGTTAAACAGTACTCTAAGATGGCGCTCCTATTGTTAATGCTCATCAAAGGAGCTTAATCTAGTAAATGCGAACAGGACGACTATAGAATGTGTTGACTAACCCTCGGATGATGTATGAGGCTTTAAGTTCTCATTTGTAAAAACGAGTAGAAATTTTTTTTTATTATTATTATTATTTTTGTTTTTGTGTCCCGAGTTGTTTCTTCATATTCTGAGCTCTAATGTATAAGAATTTAATCTAAGCTTAAAGAATTTTTTTTTATAAAACCGTGCAAAGGTATAAAAACTCTCACGCATACACTTTGGGACTAGAACATGCCGGATAACACCGAAGAGTTTCTCTGGCATACTTTGAACTTTTCTTGTAAGTCTCTTAAAATTACGAAAACTCGGAAAAAAATATACCGAACTGAACCAACTTTTTTTACATTGAATTAGTGATATGTGAACTACTTGTTTTGTAATAGGAAATGTTGTTGTTCTGGTATCTTTCTAATTTGATGTTAAAATATGCATTTAAAAATACGTATTTAACTTTCATTGAAAGAATTTTTTTTTAAAAAGGTATACAAAGTGCGTCTCCCCTAGTCCCACCTTGAAACCTATTAGGATTTGTAGGGAATTTCATACCCTTTTCTTTTTGTATATGGTGAGAAATGCCACTTTTGACCACATATCTTAGAATTTGCATTAAAAAATCACATTTTCTATGAAAATGCCAATTAAAAAGATGTAACACTGCCTTTATACTAAACTGATATAAATGCAATAAAATGGATCAAATATTATCATTAAGGTAAGACAAATGTCAAAACAAAATGTAATGTCGTAAAAAGCGTTTATAATAAATTATAGGCCAAAAAAAACACTATATTTCAATTCCTTTAATGAAAACTATTGGAATTCGTTATCCGATTTTGATACAATTTTTTAAACTTTGTTAAAATTATATGACTTTTAAATAACCGATGTTTTATGAATTTATCTTAAAAACATTTTTTATCGTTAATATGAGAGCTATAGGGTATAGTTTTCTAATCCGAACAATTTTTATCCAGTATCATCCTTTAAGTACAAAATTACGATAAAATTTTAAATCGATATCTTTTAAATTGCCGAAAATATTAGTTTTGGTCAAAAATAGTGGTCCGCTCGACCATAGTGCAGCGACAACATTTAGAAGCGATCCGTTTGAAAAGACTACTTTATTTTGAAATGCAATGCTACTATAAGTATATGGAAAGTTGCATCGAAAAAGTATCAACGCCGGAAGAAAGATGAAGCTGTTGTAAGCTTCGCTGACGTTTATTTAACTGATGCCCTTAAACGAATATCCAGAGTTCATCTACGCCATGATGAATGATTCTATCTTATGGCAAATAAAGTTTGGATCAATGCACACTGGTTGCACTTGTACGGAAACGGGGTCATAAATACTTAATTTAAAATATAAAAAAATGTTCTTAACACATAGTAAAACAAGAAAGGAAGCTAACTTCGGCACGCCGAAGTTTATATACCTTGCAGATAGAACTTCGATGATTTCCTGGATTCCTTCCATACAATATAAAATATATATATTAATGTTAAAAAACAATGAAGTAATACCTGCTTTCATTTCATTCACCTATACATAATACGTTTTCAGTTTTACATTCACAGATTTGCATTTTTGTCCCACATCTAACGATCGTTTGTATGGCACCTATATGATATAGTCGTCCGATTTGCATAAAATTTGACACAAAATTTATGACTGATATAAAATGGCTATATCTCAAAATCTGCTGAAAACTGAAAACGTTATAATTTTTAATTGTATTAATTTCTCGATCGTTCCTATGGGAGCTATATGATATAGTTGCGCGATTTTCATAAAATTTTACACAAAATTGTAAAATAATAAGAAATGGCTATATCTCAAATTTGATGAAAATCTTTTGAAAACTAAAAATGTTATAATTTTTAATTGAATTAATTTCTCTATCTATCCTATGGAAGCTATATGATATAGTAGTCCGATTTTCATAAAGTTTTACATAAAATTGTAGAATTATATGAAATGGCTATATCTCAAATTTGAATTTAAATTCTTTTGAAAACTGAAAACGTTATAATTTTTTTTGTAAAAATTTTCCGATCATTCCTATGGTACCTGTATGATATAGTCGTCCGATCCGTTCCGACATTTATACGAGTGAGAGTATATAGAAAGCTAACTGCAAAGTTTCATTCAGATAGCTTCAAAACTGAGAGCCTAGTTTGCGTAGAAACGGACAGACGGACATGGCTAGATCGACTCGGCTGTTGATCCTGATCAAGAATATATATACTTTATATAGTCGGAGGTGCCTCCTTCACTGCGTTGCAAACTTCTGACTGAAATTATAATACCCTGCAAGGGTATAAAAATTGGCTTCATCGGACGACTATATCCTATAGCTCTAATTTCACCTTATTAAGGCTTATATGCTGATGGTGCGCAATACTTCCAGTAGACTTGAAGTGCTAAAATTGTATTATCGGAATCTAAGATGTGTACTACATATATTTAAATTATCTTCTGTATACACTTTCCAATTACTATTCTCCATTCGGACTTTTAAGCCAAATTCATGCTAACTTTTATTCTTACCCGTTCGGCGGGTAAGACCCCGTAAAATTGAGTCGGCGATATACACACATGTGCACATCGCGTGTGAAAGAGGCAAAAGCTTGCAACCCCTT